TTTTATTTTATTTCAAAATATTAATGGGCTATGTTTTTGCTACGTGGCTTGAGTCAGGGCTACAAATGTACCTAACACCTGAATAGTGTTCATTACACCTGTCAGGTAGGTTTTTGCTCCTGCCCTCCTCCCCCTCCCACCTGCTTGATTTTCAATGACTTTTACTTTCCTCTGTGCACTTGTGTGCCCATCAGTTAGTTCCAATTTATTAGAGTACATGTGGTGTCTGTTTTTCCATTCTTGAGATACTTCGCATAGGATAATGGTCTCCAATTCCTTCCAAATTGCTGCAAAAGGCATTAATTTGTCCCTTTCTTTGGCAGAGTAGTACTCCATGGTATACATATACCACATTTTATTAATCCACTCATGAACTGATGGGAACTTGGGTTGATTTCACATCCTTGTAATTGTGAATTGTGCTGCAAAAAACATTCAAGTGTAGGTGTCTTTTTGGTAAAATGACTTCTTTTTCTTTGGGTAGATACCCAGTAGTGGGATTGGTGGATCGAATGGTAGGTCTACTTTTAGTTCTTTGAGAAATCTTCACACTATTTTCCACAGGGGTTGTAGTAATATGCAGTCCCACCAACAATATGTAAGCATTCCTTTTTCTCTGCATCCGCACCAGCATCTATTGTTTTTGGACTTTTCTAACAGATGTAAGGTGCTATCTCATTGTGGTTTTAATTTGCATTTCCCTGATGATTAGTGATGTTGAGTATTTTTTCATATGTTTGTTGGCCATTTGTCTATCTACTTTTGAAAAACTTCTGTTCGTGTCTTTTGCCCACTTTTTAATGGGTTCTTTGTGGTTTTTTGGTTTTGTTTTTTTTGCTGATTTATTTGTCAAATTCTATCAGATCTACAAAAAAGAACTGGTACCCATACTGCAGAAATTATCACATAACATTGAGAAGGAATGAAGAAATCTATGAAGTCAGTGTCACCTCGTTACCAAAGCCAGGAAAGGACACAACAAAAAAAGAAAACTACAGACCAATTTCCCTTATGAACATAGATAAATATAGATGTGAAAATTCTCAGTAAAATACAAGCAAACCAAATTCAGCAACACATCAAAAAAATACTCCACCATGACCAAGTGGGCTTCACCCCAGTGATACAAGGATGGTTCAACATATGTAAACCAATAAATATGATTCACCACATAAACAGAAACAAAAACAAAGACTATACGATCACCTAAATAGATGCAGAAAAGCATCTGACAAAATCCAACATCCTTTCATGATAAAAACTCTCAAGAAACTAGGCATAGAAGGAGCATATCTCAAAATTATAAAAGCCACATATGGCAAACCCACAGCCAACATCATACTGAATGGGGAAAAGTTGAAAGCATCCCCCCTAAGAACTGGAACAGAACAAGGATGTCCACTGTCACCACTTCTATTTAACATAGTCCTGGAAGTCCTAGCCAAAGCAATCAGGCAACAGAAAGAAATAAATGGTATCCAAATTGCAAAAGAGGAGATCAAACTATTGCTGTTTTCTGACAATATAATCTTGTATCTAGAAAACCCCAAAGACTAGGGGTTTTCTTGGTAGTAAAACTACCAAGAGACTACTGAATTGATAAATAAACTCAGTGAAGTCTCAGGTTACAAAATCAATGTACATAAATCAGTAGCATTTCTATATACCAATAACCGTCAGGCTAAGAGTCAAATCAAAGACTCAACATCATTCACAATAGCTACAAAGAAAATAAAATACCTAAGGATATACTTAACCAAGGAGGTGAAATATCTCTACAAGGAGAAGAACTATGAAACACTGAGGAAAGAAACTGTAGAGGACACAAATGGAAATCATACTCAGGGACTGGTAGAATCAACATTGTTAAAATGTCCATACTATCCAAAGTGATTTACAGATTCAATGCAATCCCCATCAAAATACCAATGGCATATTTTACAGATTTAGAAAAACTAATTCTATGCTTCATTTGGAACCAGAAAAGAGGCCGAATAGCCAAAGCAATCCTAAGCAAAAACAGCAAAGCTGGAGGCATCACATTACCAGAGTTCAAGCTATACTACAAAGCAATAGTAACCAAAACAGCATGGTATTGGTCTGAAAATAGAGACATAGACCAATGGAACAGAATAGAGAACCCAGATATAAAAACGTACCTACACCCAACTGATCTTTCACAAAGCAGACAACTACTTATACTGGAAAAAAGAAACACTATTCAATAAACAGTGCTGGAAAAATTGGATAGCTACATGCAGAAGAATGAAGCAGGACCCCTATCTGTCACCACTCACGCAAATTAATTCAAGATGGATAAAAGACTTAGTAACGCATGAATCCAAGAATTCTAGAAGAAAATGTAAGAAAAACTCTTCTATTAATAGATATCTATCTAGGCAAAGAATTTATGGCTAAGACCTCAATAGCAATTACAGCAACAACAAAAATAAATAAATGGGACTTGATTAAATTAAAAAGTTGCTGCATGGCTAAGGAAATAACAGAGCAGACAGACAACCTGCAGAATGGGAGAAAATATTCGCAATCTACACATCCAATAAAGGGCTAATATCCAGAATCTACAAAGATACACAGCTTTCCTAACTGGTGTCTCAATAACATACAGTAAAGCTATACTAATGATAAATAAATACTGATGTGGGATCTCACTCGGGGCCTCTAACTTGACTATAACTTTAAATATGAAAGAAAATAAGAGTATAGAGCAGCTGGTCTTCTCTGAAGAAAACAGCTCTTTACTTACCATCTTCTGCTAAGATCTTAGCTGCATCTTTATCATCTTCCCACTTCCCGGTGACGAAGCAATCTTTGATACTGTTCATAACCTTAAGCAGAAAAGTCGTCACTTAGCTGACATGGGCTCCAATCACTCAACAAAACAACTGCTATTAAGAAATGGTAGTGGGCAACAACTTGCCTTTAAATACTTCTCAAGACAATTTCATGGATATTCTCAATCCAAGTGGACCTATGGGATAACTCTACCTTTGATGTAGACAGTATAAACATAAAGATAAAATATGTCATAATGTAACAGCAGATAAGGAAAGTACTATTAGTCCACTGACCTCATAAGTAAACAAACAGATATTTACTAATTCAACTAATTTTCAAGCTTTAATAAGGTTTCTAAGGCAATGCAGTAAGACACTATTTTACAAAGCTGGTCTTACTATTTGTTAATCCAAATCTATCGTGTCTGTTTGAAAGCTTAATTCCTACAGAATGGGAAAAGATATTTGCAAATCATGTATCTGACAAGGAACTATTATTCAGACAATATAAATAATTCATAAAACTAAATAACCCAATTTAAAAAATGGGCAAATGGTAAGAAAATATTTCTTCAAAGAGTAAATAAATAGTCAAGAAGCCATTTGAGGTCATGGATTTAAATATAGCTGATGTGCTTCATTCTACTTCATTATCCTTACTGGTGCTCATATTGATCCCATCTGTGGCCCGTGAGAATCTCTTCATGTTGGCCATGTGAAGTCATATATATAAATATATGTGAATCTATATAAATAGCCATATATAAATATAAATGGCCAATAAGCACATGAAAAGATGTTCAACATCATTAGCCATAAGGGAAACGCAAATCAATACCACAAGGAGAGAGCACTTCATACGCCCTAGGATGACCATAATCAGAAAGACAGAATGGCAAGTGTTGGTAAAGACCTGGAGAAACTGGAACCCACATACACTGCTGGTGGGAAAAGAGAAATGAGAGTATATGAGAAAAGAAAACTTTAACTGTTTTCAGTAATCATATTACCCTGACATTGTTTTGTGTGTAATATGGGATAAAGCAAATGAGTAATTATGTGATTTTCTAATTTCATCGTCTTCAGATTCAACCAGAGAATAATTCTGCAGTGGAAAAATGGACACAGATGTAAGATGTAGTCCTGAATGTGAGCTGAAAATGTCTGTATGAATTCTCCTAGTTCTGGTCACTGAGAAGGCCTAGAAACAATGACCAACTCACGGCAGTAAGCATTCCTATGCCTAGAGAGTGACGTTGAAATACGATTTTCTCTAAAAAAAAAAAAAAAAAAAAATGAGGACTCCTTATGGCTGATTCCAAATCTGGTAGCAAAAATGTACAAGACGATGTGATATCTCATCACACCACAAAGCAAACAATCGATCAAGGATGACTAGGATCATGTCAAAAGGACTCAGGAGCCAAGGTGAAGAGACTCCCACAGACCACGGATGGGATCAACATGAGCATCAGTAAGGATAACAGGCGCAGTAGAATGAAGCACATCAGCTATATTTAAATGCATGACTTCATAATGATACTTTAAAAAAAAAAAAAAAAAGAGTCACCTTTGGAGAATCATTCCAAAAACTGATTTTTTAAAAAATCAAGCATTTACCCTTACCCTGCTTATATGGAACTGGGTAACCAAATAGTAGATATGGGCAAGTTTCTCTTTATAGAAGTATTCCAGCTAATAACAGAAATGACAGAACAGAACATCACTAGTCTTAAGAAATTAATGAGGTTCTAGGCATTGAGCAACAATTGCTAACATCACGAAAAGAGACAACTAGACTTTACGTGCCTCTTAATGATAAAACACTGTCAACTATGAAACAGTGCTGCCAAAAATAAAAATCAAACCTAAATCCTATCAACCTTCTAGATGTTTTGGCCGGGCACAGTGGCTCACGCCTGTAATCCTAGCACTCTGGGAGGCCGAGGCGGGAGGATTCCTTGAGCTCTGAAGTTCAAGACCAGCCTGAGCAAGAGGGAGACCCCCATCTCTGCTAAAAATAGAAAAATTAGCCAGGCATCCCAGTGTGCACCTGCAGTCCCAGCTACTCAGGATGCTGAGGCAGGAGCATCGTTTAAGCCCAAAAGTCTTGAGGTTGCAGTGCGCTACGATGACACCACTGCACTCTACCCAGGGCGACAGAGCAAGACTCTGTCTGAAAAAGGAAAAAGAAAGAGAAAAAGAAAAAGAAAAAGAAAAAGAAAACGAAAACGAAAACGAAAACGAAAAAGAAAAAGAAAAGAGAAGAGAAGAGAAGAGAAAGCAGAGGGGAGAAAAGGTCTAAGATGGGATTAAGCCTTGGCAAGTTCAAGAACTGAATGAATTCCAGTGTGACTAGAGAATGGTGAGCTGAGGGAAGAATATTTATAGGTATCATAACTTTTTTGGGTTACGAATAGTAGAAACTATAAATGTTAATTAGGGACATAAAATATTTCACATGTATAAAAACTTACGTGTGATGCTTCAAAACAAAGATTAACACTACTATCCACGCTAAAAATTAAATGTCTTCCTTTCCTCCATAACACATGCACACGGTCTAACTAAAATCAGAACACGTTATGGCTTACGATACATGAAATATCCACTGCAGTATCTGTGAAAATGACCTGTCATCTTATAAAAATAAGAAGCCAACAACTGGTAAGCAATGTGTAAATCAGATAATCTTTTACAACAATTCCCCAGTTCTCTCGTACACACTACTCAGCCTTACCTCATCTAAATCCCAATCATGGGGCGCCTCCACAAGAAACCTGGAGCAGTCCAAAGAGTCGGCCTTGTGCTTACACTCTCCGTCAGGTTGGCTGACACGAAACAACCCTCCAAGCTCTTCTCGGGTATCACCCTCTTCTTCGTTATCCTCTGTCACTGAAGAGACCACCATGATAGAAAAGTGAGAACAAAATTACAGCCCTAGAGGACTCATCATCTCGAACCACTTAAGTCACATGTCTTAGAACTCAGGGGACTCAGTCTGTGGTAGGTATGGTGATAGCCCCAAGTGAGTCAGCTGCAGAGAGAGCAGGTTAGCCACAGGGGAGGAAGGCCAGGAAACTACTGCTCAACATGTGTGGAGGACTCCTGATTTCCTGCAAAGCAGCAGCCAAGAGTTCACCGAGGAGGGAGAGTATTGGGTGTTGGAGGAGGGAGGGGGCATTTAAAAGCAGAGCTTTAAATTACTGCGGAAGACTGTCTTCCAAGAGTTTTGAGTCTCTGATCGCTGAGAGTACTTAGGCAAAACCTGAATGAAAATCAACACCCAGCAACCCTCCAATTCGATGCTCCTCACCCAAATGTCTAATCATCTTGGTAACTGGGCAGCGTAATATAAAGCTCACCACTTTTAATTTATTTTTGCATTATTTTTTCTGAAAACAACCTATAGACAAGTTTAATAAAACATAGAATCAGAGGACAAGGGCAAAAGGGAGAATGAATGCATTACACAGGGTTCTCATTCTCAACAAGGAGAAAAAGATTTTTTATAGGCAAAAATATTTTCCTGGCAATAAATTCTACAAAAATTTCTTATGAAGGACTTTTAAATAGGGGGTACAAGATGACATAATGGACAGTATTCACATCAAAAAATTTACAGCAAACCAGTAAATCTACTTCAAATGGTCAATTTCCAGTCCTCATGAGCTGATAATTAAAACCATCTGCCAAATGTAAGCCAGGCACAGTGGCTCACACCCCTAATCCCAGCACTGTGGGAGGCTGAGGCGGGAGGATCTCTTGAGCCCAGAGGTGGAGGTTGTGGTGAGCTGTGATTGCACCGCGGCACTCCGGCCTGAGCGACAAAGCAAGATCCCGTCTTAAAGAGGAAAAAAAAGGAAAAAAAGTCTGCCAAATATATGTGACAGTGTGACGGCCAGGAATCATGGATGACAAAAGTATCAGCACAATCCTCCAACCAACTCCCTCATTTCCTTTTCAGAAAATAATCTAAGAAACTAAAACATTTCTAGCTCTGAACCAGAGTTCTTTACCCGTCCCATAAATGAGCTTTCGGAGGTTTGGAGTTGCCTGTTGTTGCCTCAGAAAGGCCTCAGCTGCCTTTCTGGAAAGGTCTTCCTTCCATCTGAGGGCACCTGAAACGACAATGCCAGCTCCAGTTACGTCTGTCTGCTTGTCCCCCTGCTTCAAAAGAGTCATAATGCAACATTTGAACAGTCAACAGAATCTCTGAAACAGCAGACCCCAAATGCAGACATTCCACTCACAGCAACATTTTGAGTGCCAAGTTTAGAGTAGCAGCAATCAAATTTAAGCATACCTGAAGTTTCTGTGGAATAGTTATTTTCTTCCTTGTAATGCTCTTCCTCCTTGAGTAAATCTTCTATATCACTGGTCTCCTCAGTTAAGTTCTCTGACCCCAGTTTCTGACCACTGCCCACCTGAGTAGGTTTTGGACGCCTTTTCCTACTAACATCTTCATTTTCCGAGTCCTCCTCCTCTGAACTGAGTGAGGAGCTTCCTTCAGATTCATCTTCAGATGCAAACGCCTCTTCGGCTGTGCAGTGGCCGGAATCGGAAGTGGGGAGAGCTGCGTTTTCCAGCGGCAAAGACTTCTCCAGACTCACGCGGTCGCCCCAGTGACTGGCGGGCCAGAGTCCTGTTTCACCGCTTCCTCCAGCAGCCCTCGCCCCTGAGCTGCCCCTCTCTCCCTCTGCAGCGGCGTCCTCTTCTTCGGCGTCCTCTTCTTCGCTGCTTTCTTCCACTTCCTGCACTTCCCCTTCCTGCACTTCCCCTTCCTCCCCGGAGCTCCTCTCAAGGTCGTCGTCGCTATCTGCAAATGCTGGCAAATCCACCTCACTGTCTTCTTCCCGCTCCTCGAGTTTCTGCCGCTTGACGCCCTTAACTGTCACGTACTTATCAGACACCTCAGCATCTTCCTCCTCTTCTGTTTTGTCATCGCCAGAGTCATTTTCCAACCTGTCACCTTCAGATATTTCATCATCATCTTCGTCACCACTATCTCCAGACTCATCATCTTCATCTCCAAAAATGGCTTTCCGACGCACTCGACCAGTTTTCAAATCCGTTTGCTTTTCCTCTTTTGGCATCCACAGCCTATGTCACCAAGTACACGCAAAATAATTCAATTTGTATAATAATCAGCTCATGTAGAAATGGCAATATAGTCAATAAAAATACAAAGAAATAAAAATGTCAAGGAATGGTTTAAGATGGCATAGCATAGAGAAAACGATTTGATAAACATTGCAACACTTAATAAGCAAACTCATGCTTAGTTCCCTAACACCATACTTCAGAAGAGCTTACAGAGAGTAAAGGAATCACCTTTCTTAATCCAATTTTAGAGAAAATTGCTCAGAAGGGAAGTTAGCGTTTAGTAGATCTCTTGGAAGACTGATTAATGTTCAAGCTGGAAACACGTGATGCTTAAGAGAAATTGGCTGACTCCAGGCCAAAGCAGAGAGAGGATAAAGTAAGCCCAGATCACCCTGTTGTGTCAGAAAGCAAGAAGAGCTCAAAGACTAACGGGGACGTGCTGAAAGGTCACAGGAGACAGGCTAAGAGCTCCCACAGCTACAGCTGGGACAATGTAGGCATCAGAAAGAATGATGACACACAGAATGAAACAAAAGTCCATTAATCAACAGCGATACTGAAATAAAGGAGGAAGTGAAGCGAAAGATCTTGCTGGCCAGGTACAGTGACTCACGCCTGTAATTCTAGCACTTTGGGAGGCCGAGGCAGGAGGACTGCTTGAGCTCAGGAGTTCAAGATCAGCCTGAGCAAGAATGAGACCCTGCCTCTACCAAAAATAGAAAAATTAGCCGGGCATGGTGGCATATGCCTATAGTCCCAGCTACTTGGGAGGCTGAGGCAGGAGGATCACTTGAATCTAGGAGTCTGAGGCTGCAGTGTGCTATGATGACACAACTGCACTCTAGACTGGGCAACAGAGTGAGACTCTGTCTCAAAAAAAAAAAATGTTAAAACCACAGGTTGAAATAAAAACTTAATGTAGCGCTATGTATAAAATTACAAAAACATCAATTCTCAAAAACTAAAAATTGCACCATAAGGGAATGGACAAGTTAGAATACACCAATAATAACAAAACGATGATTATATAAACACTGTATAGAAAAAGGAAATGCTAAGGATGAAAAAATTTTACAGATATTATAACTGTAACTATGTTAGAAGAGTATCCATATAAACAAAAATGACTAGAAAAATACACAAAAATGAATAGCTAATAACACTGATTATAATAATGATCTTTTAGTGAATACTTCTTGTCTGTAAGGCATCATGCTAAGTAGTTTATGCACATTATAACAAATTACATGCTAGATAATCTCAAGCATCTTCAGGTTAATTTTTACTGGGAGTCATAAACCAATACAACAAAACCAATGTTTTGCATCCATTATGTATAATTCCAATCCAGACTAAAAAATAATCACATATGCTATACATCAGTGGAAATCTACCCACAGGAGATACTATAATATAATCTAAGTAAAACTTTCAGAGACAAGATATGTGGCTTCTGGACAGCCAGCTAAATAAGCTCTAGTATTAATATTTTGGCCACTTTTCAAAAGAAAGCCAGTGGCCTCAGGTCTCATAAGAAACAAAAAGGAGGCCGGGTGCGGTGGCTCACGCCTGTAATCCTAGCTCTCTGGGAGGCCGAGGCGGGCGGATTGTTTGAGCTCAGGAGTTCGAAACCAGCC